GCTGGAGAGATGCCAAGCTTTCTGGGCTGGGGGCCCGTGCCAGCCGCTCGAGGGCAGTCCTGGGAGTGAGGGGGACAGTCCTGGGAGTGAGACCGTGCACGTCTAGATGCTGCCAGCGGAAGGGTTTACATGCTGGACGCGGGGCGGGGGGGCGTGGGTGCAGGACGGGGATCTGCGGCCCCTTAAGCCCCTACGGGAACCAGTAAAACGCGTCTTAGAGGAGCCCCCGCCCCGACTGCGTCCCAAAGTCACCCTCTTGGAGCTGCCCCTCAGATTGTAAACCTTAGTTCCGCCGGGAACCTCAACCCCCGCGCCCTCTGTTGTAGGGGCATCCTACACGGTGCACGGTGTGCAACAGCACACCTGGTCCCCACCCACTAGATGCCAGGAGTATCCCCTCCCCCAGCGCAGCCCCCTCGTCCAGGAGCACCCCCCCTTACCGGAAAGGACGACCTAAAATGACCCTGGCCACTGCCAGATTTCTCCTGGCGGGCAGAATTGCACCTACTGAGAATCACTGGTTCCACCCTGCTTTGCGTGCCGGTGTCCGAAAGCTGAAACCCTCACTGTCTGAACCAAATGTCTCACACAGGAGGAAGCTGAGACCCAAGGTGACCCAGAGATGTTAACCCAAAATTGTTTATGTCACATCCAAGGGTTTCCCCTCTCCACCTTATTTCCTTTTTGGCCAGGCTCCTCCCAACCCCCAGCTCTGCTAGAAATCCTGTCAGGAACTGGGGTGAGTGGATTAATATCCACAGCCTAGGGGGAAATCCTCTTTCCCCTCGTTGTTTCGGGAGGACCCAGATATAAATCTGGAGAGAGGCTGCCAATGATAACCACATATGTCCCTTGGATCTGTGCTACACCTGTTAATCTTATATTTGCCATGGCTCTGGGAAGTTTTATTTGCAAAAATGGCTGTTTCCACACGTGGCTGTGGTCGCTTGCTTCTACACTTGTGAAATGGTTTACATGACACTTGTCAGGGAAAACAAATACTGGCAAAATAGGTCTTTTTAATTTCTTCACTCTCCCTCCCAGAATGAGATGCTTTGTATACATGGTTAAAGTTGGAAACTCGCCCATCTGGAGATACTCTTCATCTCTCTTAAGATAAGTAAAATAGGGCCTTCCCGGTGCCGCAGCGGTTGAGCTCTGGGTTGCGAAGCTGCCAGTGCCGGTTTGATCCCCAGCTGCTCCCCAGGTTGCGAAGCTGCCAGCGCCGGTTTGAACCCCAGCTGCTCCCCGGGTTGCAAAGCTGCCAGCGCCGGTTTGAACCCCAGCTGCTCCCCGGCCACCGGAGGAGGGTCCCACATGGCGCGCAGACCTCTCCTGCCCACATGGCGCGCAGACCTCTCCTGCCGCCCTCTGCTCCCCTCAGCAGTGTATTTTGTCAGTCTGCCTGTTCTGTTCCCCGCTCTGGCTCTGGTGAATTCTCTCACCCTCCCGCGCTTCTGACTCTACCCAGTGCTTGTTATAAATAAATAAATCTTTAAAAAAAAAAAAAAGTAAAATAAACCTCTTTCCCAAGCAATTTCCATCCTGTCTATATTTCTAGCTCAGATGTACAGTATCTTATTTTTCAAACCAAAGATTATAAAGAAATAAGCAATGTTTTGCAGGATCAAGTTATTTAAGAACAATCTGAAAAACACCCAACTTACCTGCTCTTTTTAAACTAAGAATACTAGGATGTCTGTGAGCTTTTCAAGGTCATCGATACACTCTTATGTCCCTAGTACACAGAAAAATGCTTGTTAAATCTTTGTGAAATGAGTGGATGAACATCTTGGATTCAGATACATGGCATCTGTATATACACACACAGACATCTGTATACAGGTCAGTTTCACAGATCTGATAGACAGTGGGGTTCATAATGAATGAACTTTATTAAACATAACAGATACTAGGTACACAGGATGCAAGTAGACACATAGAGATACAGTTTTATTCCGTATTTAACATACATAAAAGGGTGCTTGTAATGGTAAAAAGTGAAGAGATAAGTATAGATACTTAACAGGAGTCTTGAAAATGTTAGCTGCTGCTTCTAGGTGCTGGATAGAACTCTTGATGAGGAAGCACCAAGAGAGGGAAGGAGAGGAAGTAGCTGAGTCCATGACTATACTATCTCTTTGCCAAGGGAAGGTGGCAAGTAGGTTTGTTTCAAAAGCCTGAGCAAAGAGCATCCTCAGCCAAGTGTGGCAGGGAGGGAACAGGCTTCCTTCTCCCTAGACAGCTGCAGTGGCCCAAGCATAACAAGCAAGAGCTTCGTAGATAGAAGCTATGAGCAGGTAGCTTACAACTTCCCTGGACCAGCATTTCACTGTGACACTCAGTGGTAGCCAGGAACAGCAGGAACATACTGGACAGACCAGCCCCTCTGTCTAAATAAGTTGCTGGCAGTTAGGCAATTTAAAGAGGCAAGTTACTGGACTTACCTCAATATGGTATTGTGAGGGCTCTTGGTGATTTAAAGGAAAAACAAGGTAAACCAATCTACCACCCCACTTTGACCTGTATGTTTGAGTTTAATAGTCTGGAGGAATATTTTAAACACTTTCTCATTTACTCATTCGGCCATATCATTGTATTATCAATGTACATTTGAGCTCTAGAAGTATCTAGAGATTGGGTTCCAGAGCTCTGTTTGACTTTGCAGCAAATTCTGTTTACTCTAAAAGTAAAACCAATTTCAATTGGTTTTGAATAGCCCCTGATATGTTGCTGCTTTTAGGAAGGGCTTCAAAGATAGGCAAGAGAACTCAAAATTTCAAAGATCAATAAAAGGACATATAAAGCCAATCGTCTAAGTCACTAAAAATCAGTATTGAATGGGGCCTCCCTGGGGCCTAGGGGATAAGTTTCAGCGCTACCACCACAAAGGCCCACATTGAGGGCCCAGTTTAATCCTGGCTATGGAGCTGACCCACATAGCACAGCAGACCTCTCCTTCTCACCTGCTGCTCCCCTTAGCAGTGTATTTCAGTAGATCTGCCTGTTCTGTTCCCCACTCTGTCTCTGGTGAATCCTCTCACCACCACCCCCCACCTCTGGCCTGTTCTTTTTTGTAAATACACCAAAATATTTATGGTAGTTATCTCTGATGGGTAGAATGACAGGCGAGTTCTGTCATTTTCCCTGCAGTTTCACATTTTCTAGAACATGTTTGCCTTTTAGGCATCTCAAGTCCTGGGGTTGCTCTAACCTCTAGTAACTTCTGCTCACCTTCTGATTCCAGTACTGCTAATGTGGAGCATGCCTGTAATTTCCAAATCCTGAGCATGGATTTGCTATCAGGTGACTGGTGAACATCTCCCCAGTCCTAACAGTCTTTTTCCTGCTGCCCCAGGTCTGTTATTATTCTTAGTAATAATGAGAAACACTACAGAGAGTAGCATGTTGCTGCACCTCCCCCTGCAGTGACCTTTAGGGCTAACCGTCCCTAGGTCCGGCTGGGCAACCAGCACGCAGGGGGAGAACAGCAAAACCCTCTGAAGACATACCTGCTGCACCTCCCCCTGCAGTGACCTTTAGGAATGGCTTTCGCCACGGTCCCTAGGTCCGGCTGGGCAACCAGCTCCCAGGGGGAGAACAGCATAACACCCTGAAGCAGAGGAAGCACAGCAGAAGTTCCCTGAAAAGACAGAAGCTTATCAAAAGATAAACGACCACCAGGAACCACTACAAGAATGCTAAAAATCTTATCGTCTTTCTAGAACTACAAACTTTAATCCCTTATTGTCTTTCTAAATTTCCTTCTTCTATAAAAGTCATTGCTTGTTATGTAGATCACCACCCTGATGGTGATAGGCTGAGCCCATGAGCAAGCTGATTTCATTGATATTCATTGTCCCTGTGCTTTTGGAAAACATATATACTGGTCACAAACTCAAAGAAAATTACACTCAGATTTTCACTCTTGAAGTGTGTCTGTTTGTCATTTCTTTCACCGACGCCCTGACCACCCTGCACGCTTCTCTCAACCCTGAGGTAGCCTCATCGTCTACTGCTGTGCTGGTCCGCGGCAGCATGTACTGAGTACAGGGACACATTCAGAAAATGTCTCACTAGGCAGTTTTGTCATTGTGTGTATCAGAGTGTAATTACACAAACCTAAATGGTACAGCCAATTGGGACCACTATTGTATATGTGATTCTTTGTTGACCTATATGTTATGCAACACATGACTGTAATGGATGTTTTAAGCCACTTAGCATGGGGGGACATTTGTTACCCAGCATTAGCTAACTGAGACACAGTTACTATTGTACAGTTCAGTCCTCACTTAAAGTCACAGATAGGATCTTGGAAACTGTAACTTTAAGTGAAACAAGGTTAAAAAAAGCAAGTCCTTGAATAATATGGTTTTGTTCATTCTAGGGGTGTAAAGGTAGTCAACATTATAATAAAACAACTTTTATTCTCATCACTGTTATAATGAAACAATGTTGAAGGAAACCACTTTGGGGACCTGATGAACTCTTCAAATGACACAGTGAAGGAGACTGAGGTTGAAGAGTGATGAGACTCACCCACAGTGACAGAGACCCAAGGGCACAGCTGGGATTGCAGATCAAACTAATTCTGAGCTGTACCTCCATGTTTGCTCACCTCCCAGCTTGTGTTTGCCTTTGCTCACATGTTCTGTCCTCTCCTGAACCCCTGCCCTGTCCCACCACAGCTATGACCCTTCTCTACTCTGATCTGCTGTATATAACATATCCAGGCAGGTTTTTTGCTTATTTTCTTGATTATACCAATCTTCCTTCAGTTAAGTACAGGCAACAAAATAATCATACATAAAAACAAGTACACATGCAGCTCTCCTGCCTTACTATGACTATGTGGGCGTTTCTATCACAAACCTTTTCTCTTTGAAAGCAGGAGCAGCAGCTCTCTGCCCAGTGTGTCTATCCAGGTGTCTCTTTCTCTTTTCTCCTTTTCCTAATAAACATGTCTTTTAAAATGTAAAAAAAAAAAAAAAAAAAAAAAAATGATAGCAACATACACACAAACAAAAACATGATAGCAGCATACACACAAAGGAAATCTTTCCTGTTTCTCTGCTCCCCATGCTTTTTCTAGGAGCTATGTATCAGTTTCTTTATATTTAATTCTTCAGAACCCCAATCAGGTAATGTATTTCGGAAATTGAAAACACGTTTTTGTCTGTTTTGAATTTGTAGTCACAAAACTATTCTTCTTGCTTTCTTTCTTTTTAAAAGATCTTAAAAAAATTTGGTGAAGTAGCCAGTAACCCATTTGAAATGTTCAGATGATCTAATCATTCGATAAATTATTTAATCCTTTGTTAGACTAGAGGCTATTTTGCTAATGCTGGTGTATGTTCTTGACTACTACCAGGAAGCAAAGAAAATCAGTAACTGTTATTCTAATTCTCTAGTGAATGAATCTGTTAAACACTTTAAGTGCCAACAGAAGTAAAGAAGACAATCTTTTATTCTTTACTGTAGGATAAGCTATAATTTGTGACTTTTATCCACGATTAGCCTTTTGTACTCTAAATGGCTCTTTCTGACATTGGGTTTGAATCTTTTTGTGACCTGCTCTAAAAACTCAGGGGTCTCTCATGTCATCTGGCCTTAGTCTTTGGCCCGCTTGTCACATACCACACATCACACACTGCACATGTCATTCCCAAGTGGACTCACATCAGCCACCGAGCTATCCAACTAGGTGTCTTGGTCCTTGCTCATCAGAGGAGCCAAAGTCACGTGATTGGATTTGGGGCTGGATGATGACTCCAGCCTAGCGTACAGAATTCCTGGACCTGCAAGGAAACACCGGAACCCAATCAGGTACAAGCCATCTCCCCAAGTAGCAGACAGGAGTTTGTGCTGAAAACACTGGAGGGCAGAACAGATGGAAGCCACAACAGAAGACCCCAAACTGTCCAATGAAGGTGTTAAGACCCCCAAACATAGGAAGCAACATGATGAGGAAACACACTTCTGAAAGTATTTCTTACAAACACACAGCAGGATGGGGTGGGCATCAAATTCTGGGGTGGCCCTGTCACAGACAGACATGTCCCAAAAAGGAGAGGCGACATCCTCAGTGACAGCCAGGACAGGGACTTGAACACAGACCACAATTCCCTCCCCATCATCCCCAAACCTCAAAACACTAAAAGCTCAGACTTTTAAGTTTGCAACAAACCCCTTCGGTGGCAAAGCTTGTCTGAGGCCCGTATAGTCTTGGCTTGTCTGACTATATGTCTCTGTGGAATGTTTAGCTACAGATATACTGTTCCCCAATGAGCCCAGACATGTCATCGGCTGGATGGGTGACCAGCAAGTGGGAAAACTGTGGACTGGGTCTGGTGCTTGGGGTTTCAGACAGGTTGTACCAGTGAGACCTACTGTGTGTTGGGCATGCCATATACCTTCCTCGCACAAACTCACTCAATCTGCATCAGCAGGCAAGGGGTCAGCCAAATGAACAGGAAGCAGTGGCACTGGATGGGAATAGGCCAGGGGACCGGGGCTTCATACCAGCCCTGCCAATGACTTATGGGACTGTGACCAGGTCACTTCCCTGGACCCACCTCAACTTCCTCATTGGGAAGATAGGCAAGATGACAGTACTCTGGAGAACTATGCTTATGCCAGAGGGTAGAGATGACAAATATAAAGCCCTGGCACAATAAGTGTGACATCTGTTCACATAGTAAAAGGTGCAGTTCAAGAAAGAACCCCAATCCTGCCTGCACACATCACACATGGCTACCCCTCTCCATAAGCCACATAAACACATCTCACAGAAACCACATACAGCACACCATACACAGGCACATTCTACACCACATGCACCTCACAATCTTACAAACCACATGTGCACACACCACACAGTTCATACATGACATGTGTGCCACACACATCATAGACAATAACACACCATACACACACCAACACATGTACCACACGTTCCATATGATGTTCACATGTGCACACACACTAATCATTCTCTTTCCTCCCCCCTTCACACTCACTCATGTGTGTGTGCACCATTTATCAAAATTCCTTTCTTGAATCTGCAGTGCACTGTTCAATGTGGCCAAGGCCATGAATGCCCACGTGAGAGTACAGTTTTGATGCAAAGTAGATAAACCAGGAATCTATCCATACCCAACTTTCCTTGCTCCAAGGTCAGGGTCTCCCCCCATATCATGCAGGCAACTATGCCCATTTGTCTTGAAGCACATCTCAGAACTAGAGAATCATGTCAATACCCAACAGCCTGAACAGAATAGTATCCATAAAATAATTCCTTACGACCAAGTAGGATCTATTCCAGGGACACAAGGATGGTTCAACATCCGAAAATCAATCAACATTATCCAACACATCAACAAAAAGAAATATAAAAACCATATGATAATGTCAATAAATGCTGAGAAAGCTTTCGACAAAGTACAACACCATTTATGATAAAGCCCTTGAAATTCTCGGGATACAAGGAACACACCTCAGTATCATAAAGGCCATATATGACAAGCCCATAGCCAATATCATTCGCAATAGTGATAAGTTCAAAGCATTTCCATTAAGATCTGGAACAAGGGCCTCCCCTGGTGGCGCAGCGGTTAAGCGCTGGGCTGCGAAGCTGCCCACAGCCTCTGCAGCACCAGTTCGATCCCCAGCCGCCGGGCAAGGGTCCAACATGGCACGCAGACCTCTCCTACCACGCCCGCTGCTCCCCTCAGCAGTGTATTTCCTCACTCTGCATGTTCTGTTCCCCGCTCTGGCTCTGGTGAATTCTCTCACCCTCCTGTGCTTCTGACTGTACCCAGTGCTTGTATAAATAAATAAATCAATCTTTAAAAAAAAAAAAAAAGATCTGGAACAAGACAAGGATGACAAGGATGTCCACTCTCACCATTGATTTTCAATATAATACTGGAAGTCCTAGCTAGAGCAATAAGACAAGAGAAAGACATATAAGGAATCCAAATAGGCAAGGAAGAAGTCAAACTATCACTATTCGCAAATGATATAATATACACAGAGAACCCCAAAAACTCCACAGAAAAACTAATTAAACTAGTCAATCAGTTTAGTAAAGTAGCAAGATACAAAACCAACACACAAAAATCAGTAGCCTTCCTATACACAAACAATAAATCTGAAGAAATCAAGAAAACCATCCCTTTTATTACTGAAACAAAAAAAAAAAAAATCAAATACTTGGGAATAAGCCTAACAAAAGAGGTAAAGGATCTATACAAAGAAAACTGTAAAACACCGTTAAAAGAAATTGAAGAAGACACAAAGAAATGGAAAGACATGCCCTGCTCATGGATTGGAAGAATTAACATTCTCAAAATGGCCATCCTACCAAAAGCAATTTACAGATTCAATGCTATTCCAATCAAAATTTCAAGGACATTCTTCAAAGAAATAGAACAAATATTGATGAAATTCATATGGAGCCACCAAAAACCCCAAATAGCCAAAGATCTCCTGGGAAAAAAAAAAGGAAAGGTGGGGCCTCCCCGGTGGCTCAGCTGTTGAGCGCTGGGTTGCGAAGCTGCCCGCAGCCCCTGCAGCGCCGGTATGATCCCTGGCTGCTGGGCATGGGTCCCACATGACGCGCAGACCTCTCCTGCCACCCGCTGCTCCCCTTAGCAGGGTACTTTGGTCCTTCTGCCTGCTCTGCTCCCCGCTCTGGCTCGGTGAATTCTCTCACCCTCTCGTGCTTCTGACTGTACCCAGTGCTTGTATAAATAAATAAATAAATAAATAAATAAATAAATAAATAAATAAATCTTTAAAAAAAAAAAGGAAAGGAATGGTGGCATCACATGCTCAGACTTCAAACTATATTACAAAGCCATAATAATTAAAATGGCATGGTATTGGAACAAGAATAGACACACAGATCAATGGAACCAAATAGAAAATCCAGAAATAAACCCACAGATTTACAGTCAACTAATCTTTGACAAAGGAGCAAAGAATATGCAATGGAGCAAAGAAAGTTTGTTCAATAAATGGCGCTGGGAAAACTGGGTTGCTACATGCAAAAGAATGAAGCTTGACTACTACCTCACACCATGCACAAAAACCAACTCAAAATGGATTAAAGAACTGGACATAAGACCGGAAACCATAAAATATATTGAAGGAACTCTAGGTGAAACACTACATGACATACACCTCAGTAATATCTTTAAAGACACATCACCCAAAGTAGAGATAGTGAAGGCAAAGATAAACAGCTGGGACTACATCAAATTAAAGAGCTTCTGCACAGCAAAAGAGACAGTAACCAAAACAAAGAGACACCCCACTGATTGGAAGAAAATTTTTGCACACAACACTAATGATAAAGGACTGATCACAAAAATCTACAAAGAGCTGATGACACGCAACAAAACAAAATAAATAATCCAATCAAAAAATGGGCAAAAGAGCTAAAAAGAAACTTCTGCAAAGAGGAAACGGCCAATAGGCATATGAAAAAAAGGTTCAACATCACTTGTAATCAGGGAAATGTAAATCAAAACTACAATGAGATACCATCTTACACCAGTGAGAATGGTACATATTAAAAAAACTAGCAACAACAAATGTTGGCGAGGATGAGGAGAAAAAGGAACTCTCCTGCACTGCTGGTGGGAGTGCAAACTGGTCCAACCACTATGGAAAGCTGTGTGGAATCTGCTAAAGATGGAGCTTCCATATGATCCAACAATTCCACTCCGAGGTATTTACCCAAAGGACACAGAAAAATTAATTCAAAAGGGCACCTGCACCCCTATGTTTATAGCAGCACTATTTACAATAGATAAGCTATGGAAACAACCCAAATGCCCCAAAATAGATGACTGGATCAAGAAGATGTGGTACATATATACAATGGAATATTACTCAGCAATTAAAAAAAGATAAACTCATGTAATTTGCAGCAACATGGATGGGGCTGGAAGGGATCGTGCTCAGCAAAATAAGCTGGAAAGAAAAAGCAAAATACCACATGGTCTCACTCATAGCAGGAATTTAGAAAACCTTAATAAAGGACCAGGAAAAAGACTAATTATAATAAAGTAAAAATCAAAATCAACAAGCAACTGTAAACCAGAGACACACTATGGGGGGGGGGCAGGAGGGAGTAGGATCAAAACAAGGGGAGTGGGAATTATATAGGGACTATAACCAAGATGAAAATGCATACATTGTGCAAAAATGAAAAATGATGTAAAAAATATAGAAAATTTAAAAAAAAATTACATTAAAAAAAAAAAGACCCAACAGCCTGGACAAGGTTCTATTACCACCACAGTTTTATAAGGAGAGGTCAGGAGACATAAGCAAGCGGTTGCCTTTCTAATGGAAAAGGTCTGACCCACAAACCCACATGAGCTACCACTTCTGACAATGTCCCAGGCTCGCAGGCATAATCATGGAAGACAAGTGCAGAAAAGGATGTCTTTTTCCTTTTTAACCTCAAAACATAATGTTGGTTTTTCTAATTTTTTCTGGATGTTCCACCTGTTTACGTGTGTGTGTGTGTGTGTGTGTGTGTGTGTGTGTTTTCTTTTCTGATTACAGGTAAATCAGTTGATATAGCAAAGTATAAACAAAGATTTAAAGAAACGCCCTCTGATAAGTATGCGGGAACTCTGCTGCACTGGTCTACCTTTGTGTGAGTTTGAGGTTTTCCATTTAAGACAAAAGAAAAGCAATCACACAGCCAGGTCAAATCATGTCTTGTCTCTGGCTGTGCTCATTTCACAATGGGAGAGTTGCATAGTTGAGAAAGAGACTATGGGGTCCACAAAGTCAAAAAATAGTTACTGTCTGGCTCTGTGTCAGGCAGAATGCTCCCACTCACTCCCAAAGATGTCCCCATGCTAATTTCCCAAGCCTAAATAAATTATGATACACAGCAAGGAGAATCAAGGCTGCAGATGGAAGTAATGTTGCTCATCAACTGACTTTGATAAGATTATCCTGCATTACCAAGGTAACCATAAGCATCCTAAATAGAGAAGAGGGAAGAAGAGTCAGAGTTAGAGAGATAGCATCATACGAAAGACTCAACCAGCCATTGCTGGCCTGGAAGATGGAGGAAGGGGCCATGTGCCCAGGATGCTGGTACCTCTGCAAACTGGAGAAGGAAAGGAAACATTCTCCCCTTGAGCCTCCAGAGAGAACCAGCTCTGCCAATACCATGATTTTACAGAAATGTAAAATAACAAATCTGTGGTTTTAAGCTGTGAAGTTTGTGGTCATTTGTTACAGCAGCCACACAGGGAAAACAGCTTGAAGCAGCCGCCCAATTTGAGTTTTCTGCAATGCAGTATTCTTAAATGTAGCTACTTGTGACTGAGGATTTGGGTAGTTTAAGGTACTTAAGGTGGAAGGTGAAACAGCCACATAACGGCCAGTGGCTACTGAAATGCCGACACAGGCCTTCACTACTCATACCATGGTCCAGAGCAGCATGGACGTCCCTGGAGGAGACTACTAACGTGGAATCTAAAGTTCTACACATCTAATTTCACTAAGACCACTTCCCACCATGAGATTGATTCATGGGAGACGTCACAGTCTAAAACAACGGTTGAAGCAACAACCCACTTTCACACAAATACTTTCCTGTGGGACCACAGGAGACTAAGACCCTTTGTCGCAATTCCCAGGGTGTTTTCCTAGACCACATGGAGGGTTTTTTTGGTTTTTGTTTTTTAATATTTAATGTTTGAGGCATAGCATTAGCCAAGGAGATGAATTAATAGCTATGGACTATCTTCTACAGGCCAGATCCTTGACCATATGCTATGGGCTGAATTGTGCCCACCTCCAAGTTCCTATGTTGAAGTCCTACTGCCCAATGACTGTATTTATAGAAGGGGCTAACTGAGCCCCTTTATTTAATGAGCTAACTGAGATTAAATGACGTCATAAGGGTGGACGCCTGTTGTTTGATACCCTCATAAGAAGAGAGACATGACGCATGCACTCACCGAGGGAGGCCATGTGAGGCCATGCTGTGGAGGCAGCCATCTGCAAGTCAAGGAGAGAAGCCTCACCAGTAACCAACGCTGCTGGCACCTGATTTTGGACTTCCAGCCTCCAGAACTACTTAAATAAACGTCTGTTGTTAAAGCTGCCCAGTTTGTGCTATTTGTTGTGATAGCCCAAGCTGACTAAGCCCTCATTTATACCTTACAAAACCCCATCAAATTTTTTTAATATGACCTTAATTTATTAAGAATAATGACACTGATATAAACACCCCACTGTACTGAGTGTCTACCCTATGTCAGGTGAGTTAGGGGCCAGTATTAATGCTCTTGTCCTCATTGTCCACAGTGAGGGATCACAGATGAGAACATGGAGGCACAAAATGAGATGCTGCCCCATGTCACACTCTAAACAACAGAACCTGAGCCTGACCTAGACCTCCATCTTGCTTTCCGTCACAACTGTTTTTTCCACTTTCTTCTCCAATTCATCCAGTAAACTCTAGTTAGATGCACTGAAGCTTTATTACCTCTAAAGTAGCTTCTGTAGTTCCACCATACTCTGTGGTCCACATTTAACACCAACAGCTATGACAGTAAGATGAACTGAACACAGATGAACAGGATCCACCACATCAGATGCATATTTTTTTTTTTTTAGATTGTTAAAGCAAACTATTAGCAAACTTTTCCAAAAGGGTCAGATGGTAAATGTGTTCAGCTCTGTAGACCAATGGTCTCTGTCTAAAGGACTCAATTCTGTCCTTGTAGCTCAGAAGTGATCACCAACGATACATACATAATCAAAAAGGTGTGGTAGCACCCCACTAAAACTTATTTGTGGGTGAGAAAATTGAATTTGGGCCTCCCTAGCTGTGTAGAGTTAAGTCTCAGTGCTATTACCACTATTACTAGGCATGAGTTGAGCCTGAGTTCGATCCCCAGCCAGGGAGCTAACCTACATATGGTGCAACAGACCTCTCCTGTCTTGCCCACTGCTCCCCTCAACAGTGTATTTCAGTAAATCCACCTATTCTGTCTCTGGTGAAACCTCTCAATCCCCACACCTCTAGCCTATACCCCAGTTCTTCTATGCAAAAAAAAAGGGGAAAAAATTTGAATTTTTTCTTGATCTTTGAATTGAATTTCCTTCTTGATCTTTTTCAACCATTTAACAATATACAAGTCATTCTATCTCATGGGGTCAGATGTGGGGGGCAGTTTGTTGATCCCTTTTCCAACCCAAAAGAGCCCTTGGGTTGAAAAGAAAGTCACAGAGGGCTGTACCTTGGACTTGTTCTTGCATTTTTTTAATTGAAATACGTCGATTTTGAATTTCCAATTTGCTATAGACTCGTTTGCAGAGTTCTCATCCAGGAACACTTGCTATCACCAAACTTTCATTTCAAAGAACTCTCAAGTGCTAGAGAGGGGCTCAGAATGGATCAAGGGCTTTTCTCTGCATCATAATGAAAATCAAGGGAATAGGGAAAACAAATCCCGTAAGTAGAATTTACATCTTTAAAAAAAAAACAAGCGCCTTTTTCTTTATACACAAACTGTGAATGTTTTTCATAAACACAGGAAAACATCAGGAGAATTGTCAAATATTTCATAAACTCTAGCTTGGTTAAGGAGATAATGAAATGGTTGAAAACGAAAAGAAAATGCCTTGCTAATGACAGTCTGGCTGGCTTTTCAAATCTAACCACTTCAGATGAGAGCTGATATCATTACCACATCGCTGCTACCCAGAGGAAGAATCTCAGGGAACCCAGGAGGGATGATGCCCCTAACTATCCAGAGAAATGAAACTGGGTTTGACCTATTAACCATATCACTTGAAAACAGCTAGCTCAATTTTCAGCAAGTTTGAAATACACGCTTGCAAGTGTCTGTTAAAATCCAGACCACAAGGTACAGAGCTGGTTCTACCTTAGTGGCTCTGCATGGAGGAGCACGTTGGGAATCTCCACCACCCCCTTGCTCTAAGGTCAGCAAATTTTTCCCATAAAAGGCCAGATAGGCAATATTTTCAGCTCTACATGTTGAAATTCTGCTGTTATGGCATGAAAGCAGTCAAAGCAGCGGTAGGCTATAATATGTACTAAAAGGGGCATGTCCGGGTGCCAATAAAACTTTATTTACCAAAACAGGAAGTGGGCCGAACTAGGCTAGCAGGGCATAGCTTTCGACTTCTGCTCTAGAGTGTCTGGAACCGAAGTACAATAAGAAATTAGAGCAGGGATGGGCTCTACTTTTTGACATAGCAAGAAAGGATAGAGCAAGCAAAAGGGGGTTTCCAACATGAACCCCAAAGCAAAGGTTTTGGGGCCAGTTGCTTCAAACTCAGTCTTCTTTTTGTTCTCTATGTGACTGCTTGCCTGGGCAGCTACTTCACTTAAATTGCTCAAGGGCGAACAGTCGTAGGCATTTATTACTTAGATGGTGGTTAAGGCCAAAATGGAAAGTAAGCTGGTGTGACATCAACTAATGTCACTTACACAGAGAAACAGTCATCTGGGTAGAGCTGAACACTTTGTCCTCATTCATAGGTTAAAACTGAAGTGGCCTAACTCCCTAACCCTGTTCCTAGTCAGAAATGATGGGAATCTAGAACCATGTTTTTCAGTATTATGTGTAAACATACATAAGTACAAAGGAATGAACAAAAAACAAGTAAGTAGACAAGGATATAAATTGTAAAAGATGCATTTTTCTTTGAGGTTCTTAGCCTGAAGCTGTCAAGAAAGATCTCTACTTAAAAGTAACCCCCAAAAGTCATTAGGTATGAATTGATGAGCTGGTCATCATGATGTTACTTACAGTAGTCAAAAAGAGGAGACAAAACAAGTGTTCAGCAATGAAAGACTAGTTTAATTATGATACACCCTTACCATCGCTTATTTGCAGTTATTAAGGAATGGCAGTTCAGGAAAAGATATAGAAATATAGTCATTATCAGATGAAAAAAGCAGATTAGTAGATAAAAAAATACTGTGTGGAAAGAAAATGCAAGTACCGTATCCAATGCATGTGCACAGAGAAAGAGAAGGATGTGCACCAAGAGGGAATTTTCATGGCGAACAGGATTATGGGTGGCTTTTTCCCCTGAGAACAAAGCCACATTTTATAATTTTTCTAAAATAAATCTGCATTGGTAGTAAGAGACTTAATAAAACAAACGAAAACCACAAGCCACAACAGTGATGTAAAGATGTAGGTTTTTCAGGTACTCCCAAAAGGAAACCAGCAAAGGTCACAATGCTGGCCATAGCTGAGTTCCTAACAGTGGACAAAGTACAAGCTCAGCCCAGCCACAGGGCCAAAGTCAAAGAGAGATTTATTGGTGCCACACAGGATTAAAAAGAACACCAGGAAAGTGCTCTGGCAGCCCAGAAAATACAAAGGATATGATGCTGAAATGAAGATCACAGAACCTGAACCGCCTTATCCATGTTCAGAAAATGTTGTATATTCAAACAGGTAAAGGAAAATGCTGAAAAGGAAAGAAGTGGGAAAAGGCTGTCCATCATGGAAACTGTTTCGAGTCACTTTATTTTTTTTTTAAATTTATTTATTTTTATACAGGAAGGGGGGTATAGGCCAGACACGCAGGAGGGTGAGAGGATTCACCGGAGACAGAGTGGGGAACAAAACAGGCAGACTAAACAAATACATTGCTGAGGGGATCAGCGGGCAAGAGAAGAGAGTTCTGCTTCGCCATGTGGGACTCTCGCCAGCCAGGTGGGATCGAAGCCACACTTCAGAGGCTGCGGACAGCTTCACGGTGCAGAGCTCAACCGCCTGCGCCACCAGGGAAGCCCAGTTACTTTATTTTTTAAAGATTTATTTATTTATGCATACAAGAACTGGGGTGTAAGCCAGGGGCGCAGGGGGCGGGGGGTGGTGTGTGAAAGGATTCACCAGAGACAGAGTGGGGAGCATAACAGGCAGATCTACTGAATACACTGTTGAGGGAAGCAGCGGGCAAGACAGGAGAGGTCTGCTGCACCATGTGGGTCAGCCCTCTAGTTGGCTGGGAATTGAACTCACGCTGCAGTGGCTGGTAATAGCTTGACAGCACTGTGTCTCCAACCCCTGCATACCAGGGAGGCCCTCTTTCCAGTTATTTTGAATGCCATGACAGCTTTCACAGTGCATGAGCTAGCGGCAGGAAAGAACGTCGGCAAGAAGAGGATACCCATAGGCATGGAGCAATGACCCCACACATAACTCATGCACACTTAAGACGCATGCAGAGGGGAAGTGTGCAGAGGGGAAGGAACCCACCACAGTTCCACCAGCAAGGCACAGGGATGGGATTTGCCCTCACATCTAAGTGACCCAGGACATAAGCGCTTAAATGCCAGGGACCCCATGCACTCAAAAAATCAAGACTTCCATCACCTCTGGTACCAATGCAGGTTACTGAAAGGTTCCAAAAGACATGTGTCCATGAGCTACAACTTTAAAAAGGTCCAGCAGCCTCCAACATGCATCCCCCAAAGTTCCCTGCTTATAAGAATTTAACAATGAGATAACAGTTCTCTGTAGAAAAATACAACTATTGACATAAAACCTCAATAATGCATTCTGTTCTCAGAGCTCGACCCATCCCTGTAACACACAAACGTCTTGCCTCACTGAGGCCTCAGGGCGGTCTGAAGAAAGTTGCACAACTTCCTCACACTACTCGCCCGCATGACCCTGACCAGCCAACATCTTGGCAGTTTGGTTCTTGTTGACAAAGACAAGGGCTTAGGCAAAGCAGCTCCTATCAGCAGATACACTCCATCACTTACACACCATGGGGTGCATGTGGTCCAGGACTGACATGAGACTAAGTTACAGAGGCAATGACAGAGAATGATGTTAGTTGAGTAGTAATACCAGTGGACTTGACTCTGGTCCCAACCAGAGTCAAGTGAAGTCCCAACCACATCACTGGTCTTCGAATACTTCCAGCACAACCAGGTCAAAATTGTATTTGCCCAATTTCTACTTGACCTTTTTGAGCAAAATCCAAAAAGGAACACCTAACATTTCCTCTTTTCTGACTTGTCCACAGGCTCCAAAGTAAATCCTAGGTGTTTCCCACAGCATAATTCAGAATAATTCAAGTTGGAAATCAACATCGTGGTTAAAAAAGTATATAAACAAAAGGTCCTCTTTAGAAATGGGCTTTATTTTCAGTGTATTTAGTTAGAAAAGTCTGCATATTTACTTTTTCCTCCCATAGGTTTACCTACAGGTCAAGATTTCAAAACCACAATAAACAAACCAAATACCCATGGGAGCTGGGTACCAACTGGCCAGTGGTCATTTCATTTTGGCAATTAAAGCAAGTACTCCCTTTCAAAGTGGATTTCTGTGCAAAACACCATATTTCCTTGAATGAGGCTCACTGTTTTCAATCTTGAGATCCCCCACTTGAAGAGCAGACCCACAAACCCCAACTTTTCAAATTCAGTCCCAATATCATCATAGAAATCACTCTCATTCCAGCAACTGTACAATAATAAATGGCCTCAAAAGCTACTTTATTTAACAGAGAACTTCAAGCCAAAATTTCTCGTAATACCCACCCACCCCACCAGTTGTTCTGTATCCCTCTTCAATGGGATTCAGTCATTTTTCACCCTTGAAAGTCCTGGGGCACAAGCTGAGCAGAGTCTGTCGGGATGGGGAAGGAATGACTTTTAAACATCTGTATAATTCAAACCAAAAGGATGGTTCTTTAAAATAAACCAAGAAATATCCAGATATGGGTTTCTAGTGGAAGTCTGACAGAAAAGGGACTCCAATTTAATAAAACACTCTTAGACATGTCTTTTCATCTGTTGAGAAGGCAGTATCATCACATCCCTCAAATAAACCCCCAAAACAACTGAAGTAGACAGCATTTCAATGCTGAGACTAAATCAAAAGTATCTTTGAAAAGAAAACAGTGACATGGCTAGAAGCCATGTGCATCTTGGTAAACATTTTTTCACCCACCACGAGCTTGGGCTTTCTGGGAAGGTCACTGGTTTTCCAGTTAAAAACATTCTTAAAGTCACCAGGAATGGAGGAAGAGAGACTTGGCATCTGAGAAGGTGTGTACCAGGATCCACATCAGCAGCTCAGGAGCCAAACAGCCTAAAAAAGCCAGACAGCAGAAATATCCATGACAGTGGGAAGCTAATATTCTGAGAACATTAAAAAAGACTTTATATTACCACTCTTAAGATTATTTACATTATAATTTACAATATATTTTTATATATTTATAAGTAATTCTTCTGTTACACCATAATGTGGGTACACTTATCACTGTGAACTGTATACTTAAAACCTTTTTAAAGGTATCTGTAAAGATAAAAAGAAAAAATAATCAAAAGTAAAGTAAAATAGAAACAAAGACCAAAAAAAAAGGAGCTTAAAAAGTACCAGAAAAAAAGGTACCCACTTCATATGAATGTGAAACATTTTATTTATTTATTTGTTTGTTTGTTTATTTATTTTAAGATTTTATTATATTTATACAAGATCTGGGGTACAGTCCAGATGCACGGGAGGGTGAGAGGATTCACCAGAGACAGAGTGGGGAGCAGAACAGACAGCCTGACGAAATACACTGCTGAGGGGAGCAGCGGGCAAGACAGGAGAGATCTGCTCGCCATGTGGGTTGCTCCAAGGCGGGTTGCTCCAAGGCCGGCGAGGATTGAACCAGCACTGCAGAGGCTGCAGACAGCTTCACAGCGCTGCGCTCAACTGCCTACACCACCAGGGAGGCCCTGCATAACATTTTAGCCTATTTTCTACTATTGCAAGTCAATGGCATCCTTCACAATTAAAAAAACCTTTATGGGCCTCCCTGGTGACGCAAGGGGTTAAATCTCAGCATTATGAAGCTATCAACAGCCACCGCAGCACAAGTTCAATCCCCTGCCAGAGAACTGACCCACATGGCACAGCAGACCTCTCTTGTCTTACCCACTGCTCCCCTCAGCAGTGTATTTCAGTAGACCTGCCAGACTTCAAACTACACTACAAAGCAAAAGTAACCAAAAGCAGTATGGTACCGGAATAAAAATAGATGCACAAATCAGTGGACTAGAACTGAGAGTCTCACACTTATATGGATAGTTAATTTATGACAAAGGAGCCAAAAGTATCAAAGGAGAAATTATCTTTAATAAATGGTATTAGGAAAACTGGTCAACCACATGCAATTGAATCAAACTAGACCACTATCTCATACCATACATGAAAATTAATTTCATAATGGTTTGGATGTAACACCTGAAACCATAAAACACACAGAAGAAAAAAAGACAAAACAGTCCCCAACACTGACATCAGTGACTTTTTAGTGATCTGAGTAAAAATGGCAAGGAAAACAAAAGCAAAATACACAGTGAAAGAAATTCATTAAAACAAAGACACCTTACTGAACAGGAGAAAATACTCAGACATCACAAATCCAACAAGGGATTTATCCAAGATCTATAAAGTCTTCATACAACTCGACACAAGAAAACAATCAAAAATGGACAAAAGAGTTAAACAGACACTTCTCCAAAGAAAACACACAGATGGCCAACAGGCACATGAAAAAATGCTCATCATCATTTATTATCAGGGAACGCAAATCAAAACCACAACGAGATAACACCTCTCACCCATGAGAACAGTCCATATCAAAAAACCAGAAACAAGGTGAGGTTGTGTGAAAACAGGAACTCTCATACACTGTTGGTGGGAATGTGAACCAGTCTAGCCTCTATAAAAAACAATACAGAAGTTTCTCAAAACACTAAAACTGGAGTTACTAATATAATCCAGCAATTTCAATCACAGGTATCTACCTGAAGATTGTAAAAACACTAAATCAAAGGAATGTATGCATGCGTATGCTCAGAGCATTATCTACAATACCCCAATTGAAAAATGGGCAAAGTTTGGTATAGACCTAATTCCCAGGATGATACACAAATGGCCAACAAGCACATGAAAAGATGTGTAATGTCATTATCTGCCAGGCAAAAGCAAGTCAAAACCTTCACATTCATTAGCATGGCTATAATCAAAAAGACTGACAATGGCAAACACTGGAGGATGGAGGGAAACTGGGACCATCATACACTGCTGCTGGGGATGAAAATTGCTACAGCTACTTTGGAAAATTGTCTGGTAGTTCCTTAAAAGGCTAAATGTAAATATAAAGTTACCTATGACCCAACAATTTCACTGCGGCATATACCAAAGAGAACTGCAAAAACCTGTACACAAATGTTCTTATCAGCAATACTTAACTAGTCAAAAAATGGAAATACCCCCAAATATCCATCAACTGTTGAGTAAATAAACTGTGGCATATCTAAATTCTTTTTTTAAAATAATCCTTTTTACCTTTTTAAAAAAAATAATTTATTTATTAATTTTCGTGTGGAAGAACTGGGGTGTAGGCCAGAGATGTGGGGGAAGGGGGGGTGGTGAGAGGATTCACCAGAGACAGAGTGGGGAACAGAACAGGTGGATTGACTGGACTTCACTACTGAGGGGAGTGGCGGGCGAGACTGGAGAGGTCTGCTGCACCAGGTGGGTTAGCTACCTGGCCAGGGTTCGAACTCAGGTCTTTTGTGGTGGGCCTTCACAGTAACAGCACTTAGACTTAACCCTTAGGCCACCAGGGAGGCTCCTAAACTGTGGAATATCTATACAATGGAATATTTATTCAGCCTCACTAGGGAATGAAGTGCCTATATGTGCTACAACACGGAAGCACCATGGTGTGCTGAACGAACGAAGTCAGACACAAAAGGCCGTATGTTTCTAATGCCGTGAAATGTCCAGAATAGGCAAATCCAGAAAGATAACGTCAATGAGTAGTTGCCAGAGGTGAGGAGGCAAAGGAATGGAAAGTGTCTGCTTAATGGATTTGTAGTTTCCCATGAGGGTGATAAAAATGCTCTGGAATTAGATGATACAACCTTCTAAATACACCACAAAAGATTGAATTGTGAAGACCTATTTCCACGATTTACCTGTAAACCCTTCTCTATGGTTTGATACCCTCATTTTCTCAGTACTTGCCCACCACCCCAATATCTTATAGTGAAGGTTTCAACACCTATACCAGTTAAAAGAACGATTCAGTGAACATGCTCAGACACATGACCTACATTGTTCTTTTCTTTGCATCTACTTCATCATTCTCTCTTGTCTGACTAACTCATCTCACTGTTCATCTGCTGGTCTGTGACCAGCGTAGCAGCCTCAGGCCTGTGACCACCCAGCTTGGCCCCCCCAGGCCAGTTCAGTCAGTAGCCCAGAGTCCTGATTTTGTTTCCCGGGAACAGAGTCTGAGTGGTCTAGCTTGGTTTCACCCAGGCTGGGGATTCTTGACTCCTGCACGACCACTGGGTTAGGGGTCAGCACAACACGGCCTCAGGGACAGATCTACCTGCTGCTTATTTTGTGACTGGGGTTTTATTGTCACACAACCATGCCCACAACTGTGAGAGTTCTAGCATTACAGAACAAGGTTGAGGAATTGCGCCATAGTCAGCCTGGCTTGTAAAGCCTGAACTACTGTCTGCCTTTTACGGACAAAGTGTGCTAATCTCTGATCGAGGCCAACCTCCTCCTGGGAGTCCCAGTTAGACTTCCTGCAAATTCCCTGATCTTTTCATGAACCCTCTTTGTACTTGAGCAGACCTCATCTGAGTTCTTAAAAGGGCCTCTCTGGACATACATCACAGAAACATTCCCCAGTGGGACAGTGAAACCCATCCTCCTCTGAGCACCTAAGTTCTGGAATTATCTCCTCCACTAGGATGGCACAAGGATAGCACAGCACCCCCTAATTCAATGTCTCAGTCACTCAGGAGTGCTGACCTTTCATTCTCTTCCTCTCTGGGGAAAGCACACACAGATGGGCCCAGCATGGCTGAAGACACCAGACCCTCCTACTGTCCCCTACACTGGAAGGAGAACCAACCTAATTGGATTTCTTTAGTCTAATTGTGAAAATGGACATAAAAACAGAAATAACGTCCAACTTCTGCTGCTTTCTGCAGGAGGGGAGCAGAGCACAGCAGCAAGCTGACCATTCAAACCACATTATCAACCTTGGCAGAGGCCTAGGATATGCTAAGTTGACAAGAGCTGGCAAGAAGTGACAGGGCTACAGGCTCAGGGAAGGAACCTCCTGGTAGCCCCTGCTGAGGTGCCAGACACAACCAGTTATGTGAACACCATGCTCCAGTCCAAGCCCCACCTGGGCAATGGGAACATAGCTTAACCCCTGCAGACCCGATTCTTCCCTAGCTTAGACAGTTCTTACTATGAAAGCATCACACAAAAGCAGACTGAGAAGTCAGAAAATGACCACATGATGGCTCATCATGTGGTCTGGAGAAGGCTGCTGTAGGAGTGACAAGGAAGGGCAAGGGCAGGTCAGACTTACACAATCATGCAGAACATCATGAAGACATTCCACAGAGCGATGAAGATTCGAAAGTATCTGAGGCTCAGTAAGAACTCCCGGATGTTGTCCCCTGGAAAGTCAGAACGCAATTTTACAGGATGGCTGACATTTTGATTTCACAGCTATAATGTGCAACACCCTGCACCCACTGCCCCCTGGTTCCCTTTGGGTCTCTCCAGCTCCCTACCCCCACCACTCAGGCTGTTGATGTGACTGACCAGACGCCACCCTCAGCCTGACTGCCTCAGGGAGAGACACAGGACCCAAGTAAATCCAGTGAGAGTCAGCCCTGGGACTTCTGCCCCAACAACTTCCTGCTTCCTGCCAGGCCTGCTGAGCTGGGGCCAAAGACAGCCCCTGCCACCTGTTTATATATGACCAGCAAGCTTGGAATGGTTTTTAAGTTTTTTACTGGTTAAAAAAAAAAGAGAGACTATTTTGAGACACCAAAATAACATGAAGTCCAAATTTCAGTGTTCATAAATGCTGTTTTATTGGAAAACAGCCATGCCTGTTCATTTGCATTTTGTTCATGGCTACTTAAGCTATGGAGGTGAATTCTACCAGAGACTGCATAACCACAAAGTCTGAAAATAATTACAATCTAGCACTTAACAGAAGTATGTGCCAAGCCCTGCTCGAGAAACCTCTGTGGTAATCTCAGTCAGCCTGACAGTAAAACAAACACAGAAAAGAGCTAGAGAGGCTCAAACACTGGGATGCTGGATCCACGTAAGCTGAGGACAATCCACCCCTGCAAGTTTCAATGTGCTTTACTGACTGAGCTAGGTTTCCACGTTTGCAACTGATAAAGCATTCTAATTCAGTCAAGTACCCTGGGGGCTTTGCTCTGTTGATGACTTACTCTGATCTCCTATAATAAGGAACAGAAACCCTCTATTTTTTTTTTTTTTTATTTTTTTTTTTTTTATTTTTTTTTTTTTTATAGAGGCATGCTTTATTTATTTGTTTGCTGGTTTGTTTGTTTGTTTTGTTTATACATGCACTGGGTACAGTCAGAAGCGCGGGAGGGTGAGAGAATTCACCAGAGCCAGAGCGGGGAGCAGAGCAGGCAGAAGGACCGAAGTACACTGCTGAGGGGAGCAGTGGGCGGCAGGAGAGGTCTGCACGCCATGTGGGACCCTCCTCTGGTGGCCGGGGAGCAGCCGGGGATCGAACCGGCGCCGCAGAGGCCGCGGGCAGCTTCGCAACCCAGCGCTCAACCGCTGCGCCACCGGGGAGGCCCGGAACAGAAACCCTCTAAAAGAAGGCAGTTTGGTATAGGCATACCCTCCTTTTATTGTGTTTCGAAGATACTGCATTTCTTACAAACTGAAGGTTTGTGACAACCATTCGTTGAGTAAATCCACAGGCATCATTTTTCCAACAGTACAAACTTTTCATTTCTGTTACATTTAATTAAGGTTTGCACATTTTTTTTTGATTCATTACTTGCATACTTAATGGACTCCAATATAATGTAAACATAATTTTTATAGGCTGGTGAAACAAAAAGTTGTAGAACTCACTTATTGTGACATTTGCTTTATTGCAGTGCTCTGGAACCAAATCCACAATACCTCTAGGATTTGGGAGTATGCCTATATGTTAAGACCACTACAGAATTGGGTTCCAGAATCTTCCTCTAGGGTTTCCAGTTGATCATCCCCCGCCTTCAGGCCTCCAGAATGAGATGTATGGGTCCAGGTTTGATGATCTACAAGAGTGCTATCCAAGGAGTTGTCTATAGACTGGGGCTGTCTGCTAAGTATGGAATACCACACATGAACTCAGAAACTTTCATAGCAACCTGAAGTGACAGCCACTTGACATGGCTATACCATCCAAGTGCACTCATTAGTATTCTAAACCCAGGTTAGATGTCTGATATTGTCCAACCTATGGAGTCAGCCTCAAGTAGCACAACTTGTTAATACTGACCCAGGACAGACTGAAAATACCAGAGCCAGACCTGTCTCCTGGATATCTGAGAGGCACTGCTCAGCAAGGCCCATCTCTTGAGCCCAAGGTCTCAAAACCAAGCCCTCCCTCCATCAACAGATGCTGACTGAAGGCCACTCATTCTTGACAGCCACCAAATGCAGGGGATCCAGGGAGGAACAGGAGAGGTATTCCTGCTATAAGGAGCTCACAGGGAGGAAAATGCTGGAGTCACTGCATGTGTGATTACCAGCCCCTCATGAGTACCTTGGGAGCATATCCTGGGTGGGGGCCATGGGGGTGGAAGAGCCTACCTAGCATCCTGTTAGCAAGGGGAGTCAAAAGTGTCTGAGCAAGCATGAGTTCTGACCTTAAAGGTGAGTTTATTGTCCATGTGTGCAGGTGCTCTGGGTCAGTCTCTGAGGTATCTATGATCTGGTTTCCTACTGTGTAAATGAGGGTGCTGTGGGACTGGGAAGACCTTAGCATAGAGCCCACATGCAAAGAGTGTTAACAACCATAACCACTACAATATTAGGGGCCAGTAGAGGATGGAGGGAGGGGGTGTAATAGACAGCAAGTAGCAACAGGTACCAAACTGCGACTGGAAGGAGACTCCAGGGAGAATATGCAAGACAGAGAGGCTCAGATTAGGGCACAACCACCATTCTGGTCATCTCTGTCATGATGCTCCTATACTACCTCGTGCCCAACCTCCTTCCCAACTTCCTTTCCATCGCCCCTATTCAGATCTGTAGATGGCAGCCCTGGGGCCTTGTAGATGCAGTCCACATAGAGGGTAAGCTGCTGAATAAACACATGAATGAATCAACAGATAGATCGCCGAGTGATTAAGAGTATGATCTCTGGGATCATAAAAATCAAGGTTTCCATCCTGATGCTGTCACTGACTTGCTGTGTGGCCATAAAGCAAGTTTAGCAACATCTCTGAGGTTCAGTTTCCTCAAGTGTCAAATGGGAAAAAAACCCTAACTTTTTAGTGGTGGAGGTAGAATGAAACACCACAGGAAGCACCTACAATGATAGCCATCAGCACAGGACCCCAATAAAGGGGAGCCGGGGAATTGTCATGCAAACTGCTGCTGACATTCTCATGCATCCCTCCCAGCTCTCACCACCTTGGCTGCCACACCACTTCCTCAGAGCACCTTCCTCTGGACAGCAATCCAATCACCACCTCACCAGACACCTCTTCCTTCATTGTATGTCCCATCTCATGGCAGTACAACTCACAAGGCAGAGATCACATCTGCCAAGTTCTTAGCGGTATCCCTAGGATCCAGCACAATGGCCAGACCATAGTAGGTGCTTAATAAAGGTTTGGTTGGTGAATGAATGAAAGGATACAATAGTCATGTACACACCCCATTAGATTCCAAATAGTCACATGAATAAATTCAGCAGAAAGCACACATCGCAGAACCTCCAGAGGTCAGGCAGTGAGGGGGTATAAAGATGAGGGGGCTGGGGCTGGGATGAGGTGCACACCATAAGCCCTGGGGCATCAACAGGTGCCATCCACTCATTCATTCACTTGTACTAAAGTTCTGGCAGTGCAAAGACACAAGGATGAGCCAAAACAAACATGGCATTTTTCTCAAGTATAAGGGACATATGGTCAAATGTAAGGGACATGTATTACCAGATGACACCATACATAAGGGAAAGCTACAACTGTAGGAAGTAGTACCATATATTGGGGAGGGCTAGTAGGAGAAGGGAAGAAAGGTGGGCAGAAAGAATGACACATCCTCAGGATCCTCACGCACACATGTGCACACACACAAACACACGATCAAAAAGAAAACTGCTGAGAAAGCATTATCCTCTCTGAACTGGTCCAATCCCAGAGTCCAGAAAGTAGGCCTTACCTGTGCTGGGCTCTCTTGACTCCTCCCCAAAGCCCTGAGTGTCCTTCTTTTTCCTGCAAAGAGGAGCAGACAGCATTCACTCTCAATGAAATATAAAAACCACTGTCTGGTTGTCCGACCCCCAACTCAGAAGGCCGCGGACTCTCAGCGTCAGCTTTGGCTCTGCCACTGAGCTGCTGTGTGACCTCGGGCAGTTCAACGGCCCTCTCTGGGCCACCATCTGTCCCGTCTATCACAGTCAAGCCCGCTGAAAGAGTGGAGAGGATGGCCCAAGAATGCCGAAGGTGGAGCAGAGGGTACCGGTGGGGTTAAGAATTTCTAGGGGGTATGGCCTCAGGCTCGCCGGTAGGGCAAGCAGAGGACTCCGCGGAAAACGCGAGTCGGTGACGTAGAGGAACCGGGGGCGGGGCGGGGCGGGGCGGGGCGGGGGCGGGGATGGACCGCGTGGGAGGCGGGGCCAGGGAGGGGCCTGAACGCGGGGCAGGCCCACGCCCGCAGGGGCGGGCCTACGGGTCCCCCGGGTGGAGACGCGAACAGGCGAGGCCTACTCACAGCTTAAAGTTGAGTACCGCCCCGGCGTTCATCAGCAGCGTCCTGCGAAGGCAGAATGCGGTTACCTGGGTCGCCCCCCACCGTCGAGCCCTCTCGTCCCAGCCTCTGGTACCCCCTAATTACCCGAACAGCAGGATGTCCCCGATCATCGTTACGGCCGAAACGTCCGTCAGAACCGGAAGCGGAAGTCCCCCGGAAGGCGGGGAGAGGCGCTCGTGTCAACAAATCGCGGAACAGAACTGGCCACGCCTGGGCCAATCAGAGGTGGAGGCAGGCAGGGTCCCAAGGTCCGCAGGTCGGGCCCCTTTAGAGACGAGTCCCTCCCCCCGAGGCGGCCTGGAGCGCCGCGAAGAATAGGCGGGTCAAGCGTGTGACTCGACCGAAAGGGGCGTGACCACAGGGGTTGGTTCCGAGCCGGACAGCTGTTCCTTCTGCTGAACTGGGGTCTCCTATCTCCTACGGGTTTTTTTTTTTTTTAAGATTTATTTTTATTTATTTGTGCATACAAGAACTGAAGTGTAGGCCAGAGGTGGGGGTGGTGGTTAGAGGCTCCACCACAGAGTGGGCCACCGCACAGGCGGACCCACTGATATACACTGCTGAGGCGAGCAGTGGCAAGACAGTAGCGGTCTGCTGCGCCATGTGGGTCAGCACCATGTGGGTCAGCAACCTGGCCGGTTCCAAACTCAGGCCCCAATGGCTGGCGTTAGCTTGATAGCACTGAGACTTTAACCCCTGCGCCACCAGGGAGGCTCCCTCCTCCGGGGGGCTTTTGAAAAAACCTGGCCCCTAACCACTGAGCTGCACACAGGAAGAAGCCCTAAGGTAGTGGGCTCCTGCGGGCATAGATTTCCGGACCTATTGGGTTCCAAAAGTCCTCCTGGACTCTAGGAAAAGCGGGAATCACTACTAGACTGACCCTACAGGGATTGGGGTCCCAATCAAGAGTCCCCCCCGGGCGTTTTCATAGGGGACAGAAGTCATGACTAACAGAGCCCATTGGGTACTTGAATCATGACAACTCCATAGAGGACGAGTGCCTGACCCACCTCCGGGCAAGAAGGATGGGGTTCGCAACTGATCGGGCCCCAAAGGGAACGGAGGTTCCAATCCAAGGGCTTCGCAGAGCACTTGGGTTCTAACCGAGCCCATCGGGAAGAGGTCCTGACTGATCTGTCCCTCCCGGGCGGGCTCGTTCAAAAAAGACCCCTTCCCCAATGGAAAGCTCCCCAACACAATCCACAAGGCCTCTGTGTTCCGTCTCTCTGGGTGAATGGGGTCGGGATGGCCTGAGGGGCAAAAGTGGGGTTCCCGAGCGCCAGGCTCCGGGAAATTGGAGGCCCCACGACCCGCCCGCGCGGGCTGTCGCCCCTCCCCTCCGCGGGGGCTGGGTTGGGGGCGGCGCCTGGAGAGTGGGGGCGGTTCCTTAGGCGGGGGCCCAGTCCGCGGGCGGCGGGCGGCGGGACGCACGGGGCTGGGGTCTGGGGAGGGACCCGCTGGGCGCAATGGAGTTGCTCTCGGCACTAAGCCTAGGCGAGCTTGCGCTCAGCTTCTCGCGGGTGCCACTCTTCCCGGTTTTCGACCTCAGCTACTTCATTGTCTCCATTCTCTACCTCAAGTATGAGCCAGGTGAGCCGGGGGCTGGGGGCTGGCGGAGATTGGCATCCTTACCCTGGGGGCGGAGGCAAACCCGGTGTTGGAGGGGCGCGAGATGGGAGTAGCCGTGGAGCAAGGGTAGTGGGACCCAGTGACTTGTGCGGGGAGAGCAGGCTGGTGCTGGAATCGTGAGGTTCTCCCAAACCGGGGCGGCGGGAACCCGCGAGATGGTGGGGTTGGGGGGAAGGGAAGCAGATGCGAGCTGCAGGGAATGAGGGGAACGTGATATTTCAGAGCTGGAAGAGCAGGTGCTGAGGAGTGGGGGAGGGAGAGAATGTCAGGGGTCCTGGCGTGGAGGGTCTCAGAATCAGAACTTGGGCCACGGGCATACGGTGTGGTGAGGGCGCTGTCAGGGGTCCGTGCCAGAAGTCCTGGGCGCCCTCAGCCGTGACCTCCCTTTTTGCCCTTGCCGCTCGCAGCGAGAGCAGCAGCTGAGTGTCTATATAAGGGCCGGTCGTACCGGGGTTAGGTTCAGAGACGGTGACACCGGTGCCCCCCTCCCTGCTCCGGCCACCGGATGACCTCCCCTCCCATCCCTTCAGTCCAGGGGAATCCTTCCAACCCTGGCCGGGTTCCTTTCCACCTAACTGAGCAGAACTGACCCTCCGGCAAAGTGATTTGGGGTCAGCATCCTCCCTCCAGCTCAGACCCTCATAGGGAATCACAGAAGGGATGATGGACTTTTTAAAAAATTGTGTTTAAAAGCCATTTTTAAAATGCTGGCTAATGGTCTTAGAATGAGTTCTATTTTTATACAAGGTCAGAGAATATTTCTTGTTCATCTCCTAGTATTTGAATTATTCCAGTTCACTAGCAAACTAAATGGAGAAGAGAATTTGACTTTAAAAGAAACATCAGTCACCCTGAAACTCTGTGATACTTGCTCACACTTACATGTAAATTATTTCTATAGTCTTCTTAGAATGGAAATAACTTTTTTTTCCTAAGTGATAAAAATAGATACTCATGTATATTTTTTAAAAATCAGACTGAAAAGAGAAAAGTGGTAATTACAGTGGACTGGGTGGCCACCTTTCTAGATACCTCTATTGTATGTATTTATACCCCTGCAGTTATGGATATAAACCCACAACTTTATGCAAGTAGGAGCATACCCTGCTTGCAAAGCATCTTGGTTCCCTTTTACTTTTGCCTTTCCACATGCTATAGTCTATATCTTTAAAAGCTGTTCTGGAGCACAGTTACTTTGCAAAGCAAAATAAGCTTTGTATTGTGTTCTGATGAATACAGGGTTATTTTCCTTCTGGGGACAATTTCCTGCTGGCACAGTCCAGTCCCCTGGGTACATACAGAGCCCAGCAACCTTGGAGGGCAGAAGCCCTATGGGAATGTAGGACACAAGTGTCTGGAGGAAAAAGGTCTCTGGATTGGCTAGGAGCTTGCAGGGTTGAGACATTCCTGAGCCAGACAATAAATCATCTGGTCTGGATGGAGCCTGAAGCTTGAAAAGGTTTGGTGGTTCTCAAACCTGGCTGCACATCAGGGGTTCCTGGGGGCATTTAAACCAATTGAGTTAGAATATCTGAGGTGGGACCCCCTGGAATGTTCATGTTTCAAGTTACTTTCCCCCAGTGAATGCAATGTGCTATCTAGGTTGAAAACCCCAGCCCCATTCAACCTCCTCCTTTTGCAAATAGGGAAACAGGAAATGGAGACTCAGCTAATTTACATACGCAGTGAACCTGCTGTCTAAGACCTGGTAGATGACTGACCTCTGGGCTATAACCTAGGTGTTCTTGACTCCAAGAATCAATCACTACAATTGCTCCGGGGGACTTGCCCCCCTTAGAAAAGGGAGGCATTGTACTGAACTGGTTTGGGGCTGCTGCTGAACCTCTAAAGGTTTCTTCTCAGAATCCATGTGTTGATTGCAGGACCAGCTTCAAAATTTGCAAGGCTCCTTGTTGAGAAATTAAGACTTTCTAAGCAGTAAGAGCAGAACATTAAACTGAACACAGAGCCCTTCTGTGCCCAGAGTTCTGGGCACAGTGGCATACTCTCAAGCTGAGGGCCAACTAGTTTTAAGACAAAATGGGAGTCAGTTCTGCTTGTAACTCTGAGTGAACACCATACTGATTCCTCCCTGAGCTTCAGTTTGCTCATCTGTGAATTGGGATCTTTGGTCAAATCATCCTGGACTCCCTTTCCTGGCTATTGTGAGGATTTGTCAATGCCCAGGTCTAAGGCATACCTGTGAGATATTTACAATGGTTTCTACAACCATGGAGAGAGGTTTTCTGGGATATAGACATTTTCTGGGCTAGGTTTGTGTGAGACTCCTGAATGAGGACAAAGCACACTGAGGTCTCAGATGAACAACGTCTGTGTCGCCTGGGAGCTACTAGAAATGTAGAATGCCAAGCCCTCCACCCAGACCAGCTGAATGAGAATCTACATTTGAACAAAGTCCCCCTTAAGTTAAGATGCAGATATTCTAGAAATGATGGAGTAAAAGAGGCAGGCATTCCTTTTTAAGCCTGGAGCTCTTTAATATGACCAGAAGGTTCTGGTCTGCCTCACATCCAGGGCCCCTAACCCTAAGCAAGAGAGAGAGAGAGAGAAACTACATGACTGAAGGAATGAGTGAATTAATGAATGAATAACAGTCCTGAATACTGTAAGCCCTGACCCATCCAAAGAACCTCCCAGAACAATGATTCACAAATGTGACTACACAATTAGACTCACCCGGGGAGCTTTAAAAAATCTTGTCCAGGTAGTACGCTCCCTACCTTATCATTTAAATCAGCATTTCTGGGGGTGGCATCTGTATTTTTCAGTTCCCCAGATGAGAATTGGCTTTCCAAGGCAGTGTATCCCAGTGGCTGCATTAATGACAGTTAAGGCCACATCACTCCTTGCAAGGGGTGGGTTGGCAGTATCCTGTACATTTCACCATGTTTCACAGCATCCCTGACCTCAAATTACTAGATGCTGGTAGCACACCACACCCCAGTTGTGACCAACCAAAATGTTCCCAGACATTGTGGGAATGCAGGGGTGAAGTGGGATGGGGTGGGGATTGAGCTAGACTGAGTCTCAAACTCCAGTGCTTCCAAGGGCAGGGTAGTGATACAGAAGAAGCACCAAATTAGCCAGGTGGGGACCATCCCCAAATGAGATCCAGCTACCTGATTGGCATGGAGACACCAAAATTGATATTTTGTAATGTGATTTATTGCCTATGTTTATGTGTTGGCTGTTGGAGCATTTTTGTTTTTTAAATTAATAGATATAATTTTTTTAGTCTTTTAGGTCCACAGCAAATCAAGCTTAAAATATAGTTTCTATATGGTTTATTATTATCACCTTAGTATCATTATGTATTATCAACATCATTATCCACCAAAACCTATAAATTTATATTAGGGTTCCTTTGTACTGGATTTTGAATGACATGTCTCTAGTATAAAATATATAGAACAGTTTCACTGCCCTAAAAACTCCCAAATGCCTCCTATTGTTCCCCCCAAACCCCTGGAAACCACTGATCTTTTTACTATCTCCATAGTGTCGCCTTTCCAGAATGCCATCATTAAAATCATAGAGTACGAAGCCTTTTCAGATAGACTTCATTCACTTAGCAATGTGCATTTAAGATTCCTCTGTCTTTTCATGACTTGATAGCTCATTTCTTTTTAGTGCTGAATAATATTCCATAGTGTGCATGTGTCACAGTTTGGTTAATTATTCACCGATTGAAGAACATCTTGATTGCAACTGGAACAGCAACATTTTTAAACCTTAATTTTTAATTTTATTTTGGTTTTTAAAATATTTTTATTTATTTATGCATACAATAACTGGGGTATCGGCTAGAAGTGTGGGGGGTGGGGTTGAGAGGATTCACCAGAGACAGAGTGGGCAACAGAACAGGTGAATCTACTGAAATACACTGCTGAGGGGAGCAGCAAGTGAGACAGGAGAGGTCTGCTGCGCCATGTGGGTTAACTTCCTGGCCAGGGATTGAATTTGTGCTGTGGTGGCTGTTGATAGCTTGATAGTGCTGAGACTTTAACTTCTGTGCCACCAGGGAGGTCCCTAAAACTGAATTTTTAAAATGCTGAGGGGACCAAAGACAATGGTTCCTTGATCACTGGTTTGAGACCTCTGGTTTGAACTATAAGCTTTTTGAGGGCAGGGGATTGTTCATCCTGCAACCTTGTGAGGCAGTGACTGCCATTTCCATTTTATAGGAGAGGAAACTGAGGCAGAGAGCTGAGCTCAAATACTCAGGAGAAGAGGACTTATTTGGAGTTGCTGAGGGATTCTATGAACACATCTCACATTTAGATCTCACACTAAATAGGGAACCTGCTAGCACATTGCTGTCAACCACAGACATTACCCTGGCCCCCTGAAGGAGAATATAGTAGAACCTGTCTCAGGCCAGAGTTAGAGACCCCCTGCTTTCTCCCCACTCCTAAGGCTGATCATTTTTATAAATTTTTATAAGTCCATCCACTAACATTTCTACCCACAGGTACTTTGCATTTCGGTTCAGTTCCAGGAATAACTCTCACATTATTGCTAAGCAATTTCTTTTCATCCTCATGTTGTTCATGGCAGATATCACCCCATTATACACACAAACAAATTGAGGCTCAGAGAGTGGACTGTATAGCTAAAGCTCACTAATGAGAGGGGAGTGCTTTGGTGACAAATCTGATTGAAACCCACATTCTCCTGCTTCCTGGTGCTGCCCCCAAAACCCAGCAAGAGCGACCAAGAGGGATCATGGCAAAGAGGAAAGCCAGGGGACAATTTCTTGGCCACTGTGGATCCTGAGGACAAACTTTGCTGTCAACCTCAGTCTTTTCATCTTTGGCAGTGGGGAGACTTGTCCTGTCCTAGGGTTTCTGGGAAGGTGTTGATGATAGGTAGCATAATAACGATAATACCACTGCATGGAATCAATATAACGGGATAAGGAGGTGTTCTCATTCTCTTAC